CGCTGTGGTAATGCGGGGCCGGGCCGTTCTGCCGCTCCCCTCCTGGTGGCTGTTTCCCTTCCTCTTCTGGGAAGTATGGGCATTTTCCATACAAAAGCAAGAGAGGCTTGATTTCATGTGTCCAGCGCTGCCTCTCCGTGAATAAATACCAGTGGGGCATTATCACAAACATAACCCCAGTGCAGGGCGGTATAACGTAAGTTCCATTATGTTTCTCAGCCGCTTTATTTCTCAGTAACGTGCGATTTCTAACTCTTTTGACCTGTACAGCATTTCTCACATCGTTACAGCTACTGGCACGAATTTACTGTAGGACAAATCCAAAGGGAGGTGTCCCTGCCCGTGCAGGGGGGTTGGAACTAGATGATAATTAAGGTCCCTTCCAACTCAAACCACTCCGTGATTATAATGAAACAGATCACTGTTACTGCCTAATTTTTCAAACCTGATTCTTTACCTGTTTTTCTTATATAGTTATACAGCTTCAGATTTTTCTCCCAAGTTCAGGTCACTTCTCTCATCTGGATTTTGGAATTTCAGGTGGCATGCCTTGGGCATTATTTGATACTTTTGAAAAACAGTGTTATTAACTGTCTGTAGTATTTAACATTATTGGGACCCAAGCTGATATATGGCAACAGGTTGTCACCACCTCGGCCGGAGATCATAGTAATAATCTTACAGCCTTACTCAGTTTGATGAAAGGGTGTATGGAAGGCCACACCTGAAGTATTGCGTCCAGTTTTGGGCACCTCAATTCAAGTGAGATGTTGAGGTGCTGGAGCGAGTACTGAGGAGGGCAACGAATCTGGTGAAGGGTCTAGAGAATCAATCTTATGAAGAATGCTTGAAGGAGCTGGGAATGTTTGGTTTGAGAAAGAGGAGGCTGAGGGGAGACCTCATCAGTCTCTACAGCTACCTGAAAGGTCATTGTAGAGAGGTTGGTGCTGGTCTCTTCTCACAGGTAATTAGCAACAGAACAAGAGGGAATGGCTTCAAGCTGCAACAGGGTAGGTTTAGACTGGACATTAGGAAAAAAAAATATTCACAGAAAGAGTGCTTAGACACTGAAATAGGCTGCCCAGGGAGGTGGTTGAGTCACCATCCCTGGATGTGTTTAAGGGTTGTTTGGATGTAGTGTTGGTGGATATGGTTTAGGAGAGAACTTTGTAGAGTAGGGATGATGGTTGGACTCAGTGATCCCAAAGGTCTTTTCCAACCTGAATAGTTGTATGATTCTATGAAGGTGGATGCAGTTTCTTGTATGTGAGAGGGTCTAGACCTTAAGACGTGTGCCTTATGGTCTGCAGAAAAAGCTTGTTTAGGAACTCATGGTAATGACTTCTCCAGCAACAGAGAATGGTTTCCTCTTAAAGATTATTATTTGGTAGAAGCTAAGTTGAAAACCACCTCTTTCTCATATAATGTAAAGCAACTATGAAGACCAAGAAACCGAATGAAACGATCTGTGATTCATTAGTTTGAAACATCCGAGTGTTGAACACATCTTAGGGCTTTTTGAGGCCTAACTTGAGAACAGCATGGTATCACTCATTCTTGTTTAGTGTGTACGTGTAAAATCCTAGCAGCATAGTTAGTAATTCGTAGGGTGCTTTCAGTCTCAAAACTGCCATGTAATATGGTTTAACAGCTGTGTCTGGCAGCCAGTAAAGTATGATAGCTGCTTATCAGAATGGTTGAGTAAAACAAAATCCAAGACTGCACAAAACCAAGCAAAAAACTTATAAGTACATTCTCAGTTTCAGTATTTTAAGCAATTACTTGCCTGAAGTGCTGTCCCAGGAGAGGTACATGTCACATGTAGATTCTAAGTGTCAATACAAACAAAGTAAAAGTTTATATATTTTGGACAGTTAGGTTTTCTCTAAACAGGTATCATCTTTTTGTTTTCACTAAATGATCTAGTTGTTTGTTTAGTCAGTTATTGTTTCACATAAATTCTACAAGGTTGCTTGTTTTCTGGACCTAAAAAATCAGTGTTTTTCCTTCTTGTCTAACTTTCTAGGGCTGTTTTCAGAGTGGGAACTGTGGGATGTCAGAAAGTGACTTGTTTGTTGAAATTATAGCCAGCAACTTCTGGTCATCTTCCTGTCAACATTAGAACTGGACCCTTAGCTTTAGATTACAGACTTATGGCAACTTTTTAATAAAGTTGTAGTTTGTTTTCTTCAATTTATATTGCTTAAAGCTTGTGCCAGCTGGAGTTATTTTCCATGTCTTTCAGGCAATTCTGTTGTTTCGGATGGTTGGTTCCTTTGCTAAGCTCTCCATTGGATCCCAGAGTATTTTTCTATGGCATTTCTGAGTCCATGAATGAAGTAGCTTTGGTGCTTTCATTTCAAGGAGTGCTCTTTATAGACAGTCTTGGACAGTCTCTGAAAAAACACCTCTTGTTTAGGCAATGCAAACACAGTTCAATGCCTCCTTTGGTTTTTCTGTTTTCAAGTCAGTGGCAAATTGTTCTTACAGTGATTTTATTTTTTTTTCTTAGCTGATTACTACTTTGGAAATACAGCTACTTCTTCAGTGTTGTATTTTATTTCAGAGTGTCCCGACTCTAGCCTTTATCTATTTTTTTTTTTTTTACAAGTTGTATGAATCTGTAATGTGTCTCCAATTTAAAAAAACCAAATATATATATAGCTGTTCAGCAGTAGTAATGACATTCCCATATATATATATATATATATATATAAAAAGTACCAATTATATTTCTCCAAGGATACTTTTCTGGAAAAAGGATACCTACAGTATGTTTTCAGGGAGTAGTACTTGGGTTTTGTAGTTACAGTGAATGCAGAAAAAAATAAGTGATCAATGCTTCTTTCAGGACAGAAGAGTATCTTTATTCAGTATGTAGAATAAATGACATGTGCTTTCTGAACATATTAATTGATGTTTCAGTCAGGGCCATACAGATTTTGTCTAAAGTGTTACGCTTAACTGAACTTCATCTAGTCCAATGTTGCATTCATGTTTAGGTGAATTGAGGGTAGGAATATCTTTGTACCTAGAATAGTAGGATCTTGATTCCTGGTTGGGATCCCTGGTTGCTTCTGTCTCTGAAATAAAAAACATTAATGTATTTCTTTCTGTTAGGAGTTTGATCAGCTTTGTCATTGCTAAGGTGTCAGATAAGTTATCTTCATGTCCCTTCTGGCAAGTACTGCCTGTAATTTAAGCATGATAGTTGACAACTCAACAACATTTATGTGGGACAGATGCAACTCTTTTTTTTGATGTATCAGATTAGATCAATCAGATTTTGTTGTTAGCTTGCCATTTTTCCTAATAATCTCAGATCCTTTAAACACTGAAAACCAAAGAGCTTTATATATAATCAAATTTATATTTGAAGTTTTAATCCAGATAAATCAGTTCCATTTATCTTCTCAGCTGTTCCTGTAGTAAATAACACATCAGTGAAGTTTTTTCATACAACAGAAATGTATGTTCAAATTTTATTAGTGTATAATCTTGTTAAGATGTAGAAAAGAAAAATTTTGATTGAGTTTTAGATATGCAAATCACAGTACTGCATGTGAGCAGTTTTCTACACTATGTTTTTAAAGAGGTCTTGTTTCTTTAAAATGTACTATAGCAGGGATGGCCTAACTGAAAAAGTTGAGTTGAATCTGTGAGCACTTAAAAATGAATAACTTCTGAATTAATTATAAAATTTTATGTTGTCTTTAAGCAGAAGTTCTTTGGTGCCCAATAATTTGCATCCACAGTGGTTCTTTCTACTTCTTTCATATTTAAAAATAATCTCTTTGCATCGGCAGAAACAACAATTGTTTATCTTTCTGCTAGGTAACGCGTCTTCTTTTGTCCTGATTCGCAAAATTATGTCCCTTATTGAGGAAGAAAATACTACAATGTCATTATTCCCTTTTACACATCGAGTTCAACTCTTACTGAATCAAATGTTAGCTCTTTCCTGTCTAGTGAATGTAAAGACTGTTGAAAGCTCTTGACTCCCAGTTTCTCAGTGGTGAGTGTTGTGCTTATGGCAGCAAGTTTTGCAGCTTGGAAACCAGCAGACTTTTAAGAAAGCTTAGCAAATGAGTGATGAAGCAGGAAAGTGTAGTCAAGAGAAGTAGGCATCAATGTGCCACTGATGTTATTTTAATGCATTTCAGTACTACTGCCCCAGTATACTTGTGGAAAAAGAGGACATAGCATAAGAAGATCTGTAGTTATCTTTGAGAATAGAATAGCAGTTGGAGTTTGGAAGCTATAATATTAGCAAGAGAGGGAAGTTCTGGGAAAAACTGTATTTGGGCATGTTTGCTTTGCTTTGTTTTGTTGTTCCTCACTGGCTGTAGAAACAAACATTGAGACTCCAGGGTTCTCTTGACAATGAATGGGGAAATAAAGGAATTTTATTGGTATCAGATGACACAACTACATTATACCTTAACTGACATTGAAGGCTTTTTGGCAACAACTAGTTGTAGCATTGTTTGCTAAATATTTAAGCCATTGCATCAGTGAGATACTTCTAACATTGCTCAATTAGCTCTCCCACTGTTCTAGCATTCTGGAATGCTTAAGAATGGATGAATAACCTAAGTAGAGTCATAGCATCACAGAATGTCTTGAGTTGGAAAGGACTTATAAGGCTTATTAGTCCAATTCCCTGCTCCTTGCAAGACTACTTAAAACTAAATCATAAGAGCATTGTCCAGATGTTCCTTGACCTCTGAAAGGCTTGGTGCTGTGACTACTTTCCTGGGGAGCCGGTTTCACTGACCAACCACCCTAAATATGTGAATAGATAGATATTTGACCTGAATCTTTTTTTCAGTCATTGCCTTGTGTAAGGTATTTGGATATATTATAATAATTTATTACTATTTAAAATGTCATGTTGATATTGTATTTGATACTAACTTGATTAAAGGATGGAGTACCCAAAAATTGGAAGAGGTAATGCTAGTCATAAGATGACTGGGATGGTAAGAAGCAGATCAGATTTTTACTAGAAATGAACATTACTAAAAAGTGAGTGTTGACTGGCATCCTGAACTGAGAACCATATTTTTAAATATGCTTTGGGAGGAGGTATTTGTGTTTTATAAACTATTGGTAAATTACAATGAAGCAGAGAAAAGACTGAAAAAGGACTGTGAAAACCATTACAGTGGGGAAAAGCTGGATTTTCCAACTTCAGTCAAGATGATTTGGACTTGAAACAGATGGATAAAGTGAAGACAGAAATATGTATCTGGCTTTTGTTCTCTGACTTGAACTGCTATTCACTCTTCCATTTGGAAGAAAGAAGCTGTTAACATTCGTAACGAGCACCATATATTATACTCTTATGCATGTCTTCTGAATTCTACTTAGCAAGTGCTTAACTGTGGATTTTTGATATTTTTTTTAAGCTTTTTTTTTTCTATGAGAAAAAAAATTGTTAACTAGTGATGCATGATATAAATGTACAGCTTACAGATAGATAAGAATAAAGACAAAACATATAAGATGGAAAGCTTGCAATTTTCTAATTGTAGCAGTTGCTCCAGTAAGAGGAGACTTTGGGGTTTTGTTGTGTTTGCTTTGTGGTTTTGTTTTGTTTTTTTTAGTTATTAGTAACTATTCATGAAGCTTTTCTGATTTGGGGTAGCTTTGACTGATAGTCACAAATGCCAGTCACGTTACTTTGGAGAAAAGTGGAAGAAACATGTCTTATATTCCTGATAAAGTGGTTGTGAATTGTGATGGAGTACTGCATCTCACTGAGCATGTACACTCTGTCATTGATGTATGGATTATTTTCTCAGTTCACTTGTTATTATAGTAGCACCTAGATCTTCTGCTTTGCTGAGCATTGCATAAAGGCATACTACCTAGGTTATTGCTCTGTCTTTTCTACTTAGTATTTATGCTGCGTAAAGGGAAGAGAAATTAAATATTCATCTCCATTTGTACATAGACAGTGGAAAGAAAAAGTAACAAGCAAATTACCTGAAGTCCTATGTGTGAACCAGAAGTATCATTATTTAATACCAAGCTCGTACTTTCTGATTCCCAACCCAATAATCATATCTCAGCTGCAAATCTCTCATGTTTCTTTTCTGGCATATCAGGAATATTCAGCTATCTTGGAGTGATATGGCATTTATAGTTAGGAATTTTTTTATTTTGTGAAGTCAGCTGAATGAAATAAATATTAAAAATAATATAAGTAAAAGTATCTTGAAAATGAGAAAGTTACTGTAGCACCTCCCAGTAAGTTGATTAGTTTTTAAAGTAATCTGGAAGGAGGATTTTTGGTTTTTATTCGGGAATTATCGGTTACTGTTTATTTTTCGAGGCCGTTCAGGAGTTATACGGTCTTCATGTAACCACTGGTTTATGTTTACTCAATTTCCTGATTTTTTAAATTTAATTTACTCTGATATTTTTCAATTGTGCTACATGTTTCTTTATCATCTGTAGTGTCATCGCTAGAATTCAAAAAAAGGCTGTTCTTCATGCATGATCCTGCACATTGTATGAAATAGAGTGTGAGCTTTAGGTTCATTGAAAAGTGAAGCTGCGTATGCTAGGAAATATTTTGGGGTCAAGTGTATGATTAGTAGCTGAGACTTCGTCACTGCTGGGCATTTCTAATAGTAGCTGCTTGTGGTGCTGCGGAGTCCTAATGTATTGTCAGGCTAAGATGCTATTTATAGGTTCTTTGAAAATGTAGTAAATGTTTCTTCTCCAAATTTTGTTGTACAGTGGTTGTTCTGGCTGTTTGCATCAGGTTATTGCTTCCAGCGGCTGAGTTCACATCAAGTAGTCGGACTACTGATACTGAATGCTTTTAGTTCTCCCATTTCTTTTGCAAATCGAAGTACTGGTCAGTAAATTCTTTTATAGTTTTTTTATTTATTATGAGTAATGGTGATGTGATTGTTTGCAGAGCGTGCTAGTGAAAGCATCCATCAACTGAAATATGCCTTAGAGGAGAGGCAGTTTGCAGAGAGTGAGGGTGAAGCTGGATTTGACCAAGACTCTGTGGACAGGGGCAATGATGACAGCATTTTTTGCAGCCTGGCAGGAATTGCAGCACAGTCAGGCGGGTAAGATTACTCTGAAAGCAAGTAGTTTAAAAATTGTTAGAAATTTTACTAATTTCAGTGAAAAAAAATAAAGTTTTTTTTTGTTTTAATGTTTTTTTATCTCTTTCTAGTTAATCAACTTAAAATTTTGTTGCAACATCAAGAACAAATGGAAAGTGAAGTATCTCCATCAAGGAAGATGTCATTCTGTGTACGTTTCTTGGTTTTTTTGTGTTGTTTCAGGATTTGCATGATGAGATTAATTTTCTAGTATCCAGGAAGAAAAAGAAGCACCAAATAATTTTTATGTTCTGAAATATAGGAGATTCTTGAAGCTATGGCCAGAACTTGCTATGCTTATGACCACAGTGGGGAAAAAAAAGACATCTCTGATCCAGGAATTAGTCTTCTCTTCTTGTTGACCGTGCAGTGTGACTAACAGCCCACTTTGCTTTCAGCTTTCTCATCTTTTTCTTTCCACCAAAAGTTCATCCTTTTTGTTTTGAAAACAGAAAAGATGGGGATTTACTCTGTTGATGGACACTGTCCCACTTAATTCTCTTGAAGTTTCCAGTAGGAAGGATTCTGTGAAGTGGTTGCCTTATTCTCCTTTTTAACTGTCCTCCACCTGCTTGCTAACCAGGATGTGAAAGTGTTCTGAAGACAGACCAAATGTAAAGCTCAATAAATGCAGAAGTACAAAAGTGCACACACATCAAAAAACCAAAACCCTTAGAAAATAGAAGCCTGTCTGGTTTGCTGCCCACTGCAGAAATGCTTCCTCGTGTAAGGAGAATCAGATTCCCCAAAGGTCAAGGAAACCAAACTCAAATTATGAGTAATTTTAATCTTTTGGCTTTGAATAATGCTGAAATACATTATAACTATTGGCGAGTAGATCACTGCATGTGTCTATAGCTAAGTATAATATTGCATAGAAAGTATACTCTTTAGTAAAGTTTACAACATTCCAAACATATAATAGCATTGTCTTAATAAAGTTATCTTCTCTTGCCCATTGATAAAAGTTGAATTAGACATGAAATGAGTACATCTTTTCTTTGATTACACCCAAAAGGTTGGGCAAAGATTTTCATGTTCCCCTCTACCTCATCACCTGAGGTCAAGGCCCAGCAAGATGGCTTCAAACAACTGCAGTTCTGATGCCACATCTTAGTAACCTAATTGCACTCAGCCTGACTTCCTGACACTGTTGATATAGGTTGAGTTCCTGTGACTGATTCCAGTTGTTTCTTGCCATTTTACAGGGCAACAAATTTAAGGCTGCCAAGCAGGAGTGTCTATAATTCTGGTGTATACAGTTTTGAAATTTGAGGCATTCTGGAAAAGTTCAGGGTGGGCCAAATTGTTTGGGATGTTGGCAGAACTATTTGTTACTGTGTAGAATGCTGGCCTCTAAAGCTGTCAAAGCAGTTATATTTTATAAACCTTTGTGTTTATGTGGTAAATCTTTCAATATTAAGAATGCAAGAGTGAATAATATTTTCGAGATTTGAGCATGTTTGGTCATTCATACTGATCAGATGTCTTTCAGTTCTGATTTTAATATTTACCCTGCTTGCAGTATATGCCTCTGCTGACCTCTATTCTTTCACCCTGTAATACAGTATTTTACCAGAATATTAATGGAAAAATCCCAAATTAATTTACAATTACTAGTTAACAATTATGTAGTAAAAAAGATGAAAATAAATAAATCTGAAATGGTCTGCCAGGTATTTGCCCCATGAAAGGACAGGTAGAGGTTTCTAAATAAAGAAATATCCCAGTGACAGTCAAGAGAGTTACTAAGTTGTCTTAAGAAGTCCTTTGTTCTTTTCTCTGTTGGTAAAATATACTATGTGTTCTTTTCCTTTGAATGAAACCCGTTATTTAGCACTCTTGTATACATTACACCAGTGTTTGTCAAGTTTCTCAGGTTAAGCATTAGCACTGTTTTTCAGTGAAAAATAATTTTAATAGAAACAGTTTTTTCACCTTTTCAAATGCTGGAGTGATGTAATCTTTTCAGGGAAGCACCTGGAAGTCTCAGCTGCAAGGTTAGGGTTAAGGTTACACTTCTAGACGAGAGGGTGAGCCAGAGGAACAGAATGATGAGTTACAAATATTATTGGCATCATATTATACGAGTGTGATTAATTTTTTAAAGCTTTATTAAGTTGTTGAGGTTAAGAGAATTTAAAGCAAGGTGAACTCTGAGTCAATAGAACACGGAACTTATGTCCACTGAGCCAGGTGGAATATGTTGCAAATTTGGAATTCCTTCTCGAAAAGTTTTTCGGGACGGCTCGGAAAACCCTCCATTTGTCTCTGCAATAGTAGTTTTAGATTTCTTGAGTTCCCCCCTTTAATATGCTACTACTTATATTTGGTATAATTTGACAGGAAGGCTTTTGTTACTGGGAACCTTCCCCTCTCCCTGGTTAGTGATTTTATCTTTACCTTTAAAGTGAATCTTAATACCTTGTTGAGGGAAATAAAAGTCAATAATTGCAGATAACTAGTAAATGGAGTAGCTAGCCATTAGTAACTTGCTTTGGGTTTTTGTTTGGGGGTTTTTTGGGTTGTGTTTTTTTGTTGTTGTTTTAAAATGGGGAATATTTCAAAAGTATTATTTAAAAACAAAGATGTAGATTTCTGAATGTTTTAGGAGATTCAGGAGGTTTAGGAGTCCAGCTGTTCAGTTAGTTCCTGAAAATGAGTTTTGTGATCTTTAAGACTCTAAGTATATGTGAGAAATAAATAAAGGAATATTTTTTAATAAAAGGGTACGTTTCTGACCTGAGATCACAAATGTTAGAATTGTATCAGCTTCAAAGCTAGTTAGGGATCTGTTTGAAGATGCTTTGTTTCATCCAGAATAGTGAACCAATGCTAGAATTTTTTAAAAAATAAAACAACAACAAACAAAACAATAATATTGTGGCTTGTATCAATATACTTTCTTTTAGCTTCAGGAATTATAGTAGTTCATATATGTCAACTGACATTTAGACTGTATTTAGTTCTTTGAATGGATGTAATAGTGGACTAACAAACTAAGGTAGTAAAATAATATTGAAATGAATGAAGAGGATGAGTGAGGGTCTGACAGTAGCTGATTTTTTTAAATTAGAAAGTAGAAGCTCATTAAATATTTTTGTCATTATTTAAGGGCAGTTTCATTGCAAAACAACATATTTGAACTCAATGCTGCTACTCCATTAAAATTATTTTTAAGTTTGTTAGAACTAAATAAATTATTATACCAGAAAATGTTTCTTATATTGACTCTAAGTCCTTTTTATTAGACTGGCAAGTACTGTTTGGTAATAGAATCAGAGAGGCTGTAGTTTTCAGGAAAATAAAATTTTAAGAGCACATTTTTTATCTATACTGTATTCTTGGGATTGCTGTAAAGTTACTGTGATTGTATGTTTCACATTTTGTAAAAAGCTTAATACCTGTTTAAATCTTGCTGAGCAAGGCAGAGGCATAATTGTTTCTCTTCAGTGGGCAAGTATTCCCTTCAGTACATACTTTAACTAGTTATTTGTGAGTCAATCAAAAATTTTATCTACTTATAGGGTCTTCAGAAAGGTTTTTTAGAGTGGTCTTTTAAAATACCAATAATCAAGTTGTTTGATAAACATAATATCTATTCCAAATATGCCTTGTTTCTATAGAGCTATTAGAATTGCTGACAGTTGTGTTTCTGTAGCAATGGTTAATGAACATTTAGAAGAGTTGCCTTTGATGTACATCCACAACTCATTAAAATTCTAGAGATCTCTTACATTTGCCTAAAATGGGTGATACATTTAAATAGCATTATTAATGTAATTTATGAGTTGGTTTTATGTTTTAATCATGCTTTATAGATGTGTTTAATCAAGCAGCTGTAAATTTCGACTGAAGTGACATTTACTTTTTTATATTAAAGAATTTAACTTATTGTTTCTCCCTCATGACGTAGTACTTGGTAACTTTTTATTACGTACACTAGTATTTTGTGTACACACAAAATCTTATTGCAATCAATTGAAAACTGGAAAATAACACATCCTATTATTTACTTCTGACAGAAACTCCCAGAAGCTGCAACTGGAGATGTACCAGCCCTTTCTGATCTCATTCCTATAATCAATGATCAGTCACAGTACATTAACCATTTAGAAGCAGAAGTGAAGTTTTGTAAGGTATTAAACAGCATATTTACGTACTAAAACCCTTGTCCCCTAAATATGAAGGAATTGCTTTAAAGACAGCTTGTACCTAGTCTTGAGATTCATTGTTGTAATGATCAAAACTGAGCCAAATGCTCAGAATATACTGAGCCTTTCTATGTGTCTTGGTGCCTGTGTTTAAGGGTCCTTGTCGATGTTTTTACATTGTATCACAAATAATTTTTTTAAACAAGTTTTATGGAAATTCAAGATACAAAAATATGAAATCTGTCTTTTGAGTATTCTTATTGTCTCTAAAAGGGTTAAAATAGTTGAGAATGTTAATCCAGACTTGTGGTCTCAAGTTGTATTTAAACGTTGATAGCCATGTCAGGGAGTCTTTTACAATACGGTTTCTGTATCCTATAGGAGGAATTGGCTAGGATGAAAGAACAAGTACAGGTAGTTGTAACTGAAAATGAAGAACTCCATCAGAGACTGAAATTCTTAACTGCAGAACATACATTGAGAGAACAGACTCTTCTAGATGCCTCAGTAAGTTCTTATTTTTCTGTTGTTTTAATTGGTGTTCAGGGACCTGATTATTTTTAAGGAAGGCTATATAACTGGTTTTCTGTAAATTGAATTTTAGTCAAAATTTAATGAGTTTGTAACCATGAATTTATGTAGATAACATGATTATCATGGGTTACCAACCTAATTGACTTGTTTATTGGTTCCTATATTCTACTGTAATGAAAATTATACGATGCAATACTTATAATTAACTTTTTTTTTGGAAAAACAGCCTGCATAATTCTAACTGAAGCATTAATAATTTTTTTTTTAGGCAAATACTCAGAACTCCTGGCCTATAGGGGGCAGTGACAGCATGCATCAGCCTGTCACCTCATCACCAGCTCGTAACAAAGATCAGGCTTTTGTTACTGCAACTGTTGGAGAAATAGAAAAATGGAATGTAGAACTGGTTGGTATTAACTTTCATACCTTTGTAAAACCTTTTGATTCTTTATTGTCGGTGCAGTTCTGAGGATTAATTTTGTAACAGACATACGGGAGTTTTTGTTGACTGAACCTTAATCTGAGGTCTCTTAAGCCTCATCTTCTTGTTATATCCTAATTAATATTAGTATCCAGTTACACATGGGTGGCAAGTTGTATCTGCAGATGTTGACTTCCCATGTGTAAGTCTTGTTTTAACAGTGTCCTGTCAGTGATGGCTCTGGAGCTTTTTAGCAGCAACACAGTGCATAAGCAGGTGGCAACTAGCTGGTTTAATTTAGGTAGCCCTCCAGGCAAGCTTTTCTGTGATGAGTCTTTCTGCTCCTCGAGCAGACTTGGGAGTGTACAAAAAGTAGCTTTGTGAAGTCCGTTTTCCTGAAGCTGAATTACACATTTTGTGCTTTTAGAGATACAGAGGAGCCCTAGTGGTTCAGAGATTATGTCCCTATCCTTTATTTTTAGTTTGGGAACAGGATCTTAATTTTTTTGCCCAAATTAATGGACTAGCATTGCTATCTTTTGGGGAAAACATGGTTAACTGAAAGTTTTGATGCTTTTTTATCCATGTGCTTATATGTGCTATGGAATTTAGAGGGAGCTTTAAGTCTTCAAAATAATTATTTAATTTTTTAACCTTTTTTTTCCCTGTAAGAATATATGTTGGTCTCATGCATCATCTAGAGCTCAAAATGTCTTTGGTGAATCCGAGTACTTGCAGTTGTTTGAAAACTGATTTTTAAAGTAATTGCACTTTTACTTTCTGTGCCATATTTAACGCAAAAGAGTCATATTAATCATGAATTTTTTTAAGTGACATAGTAAGCTAATTTTCTGGTGCTTTATCTGGTTTGTTACCACAATTGTTTTTAACATAAGTGTGATTGTCTTATATATCTAGTTCTTTACCAGTGAGTAAGAATAGCCTGCTATATTAAATATACATAGCCTGTCTACTTAAAGTTCTTCAGAATTCCTCTCTTATTTCTGCTGACTTGTTGGAGATCAATTTAGATGAGATCATCAATTTGTGTAAATCATTGTACTGGGCTGCAATTGGAACTGAAGCAATTTAGCATATGAGGATCTGGCAAAGTATATAGAAATAAGGAAATTGGAAGGTTGTTCATTTTATAGATTTCTACAAGTGTGAAATATTTAGATTTATTTGACACCAGTGTTTCCACCAGTTTATATCTTCAGGGAAAAGGAATGAATGTGGCTAGTGTCTAGATTTATTTGTAAAGACAATCTTATAAAGAAAGCAAAAGACACTTTTTTTTTTTCCTCCCATCTTAAGGAGAAACTGAAACTTATTTATCAAGAAAAAGTCAATATCCTTCATGATCAAGTACAGTCCCTAAGGTAAAGTAAAATTATTTTTTTTCCTTAAAATTATTATTAATGCATCACTTCATAACAACATGAATCACTCTTAATTTAAATTTAAGTAAGAGAATGTCTGAATGTCATGTTTTCTGATAATGTCCCTGAAAGCTGGTTTTACATTAAGTTATCTAGAATATAAATGTAGCTAAATGGAAGGTACTGCTGCTGCTTAGCAACATTAGCAATGTATACATTTGCTAAATTCAGTTGAATTATTGTTTTTATAGAAATTGTAATTTGATATAAAATGTCTTTATTCTTTTTACTCTTTTTCTTTATAGAAACATCATGGCTGTTAAGGTAGATGAATCAAAGAAAAAAAAGAGAAGTTAAAATTTAACTTGTGTGAACTCTCCCATTGTTAGCTTTCTTCTACTAATATTTTATATCATAGGTTTTGTAAATCTTAAGCATTGCACTAGTTTAGGCCACAATTATTTTGGAGCAGAAAAACATAGTTTTAGAAGCATACAGACAGTGTTTCCAGTCATGTAATCTGCATATCTTTAAACACAAAAATACTTAAAAATTGGTCTTCGTGTACTCCTCGAAATATTAAAGGTCTGAATAGGTAAAAAACTATGCAAAAAAAGAGATGGAGGCAACCAGTTTACAATTTGGTGTTCTGGATTAAACTTCCCCCTGTACACCTGTCTTCATGATAATGCGGCTGAATCTCTTTAATTATGTTTTTCTCATAAATAAACTGTGGTTTAGTGTATTTGAAAACTCTAGACTTTTGTGTGTGTATAAAAAGAATAACTGGTAGGGAGAAGTGTTTAAATATGCCCTCTGCAGTGATAAAATCTTAAATGTGCAAAGCCAATAGCACTGGTAGGAGTAAGGGGGATCTTAAATTTCATCTACATAATTTTTTTTCATAATTTTACCCCACTTGGCTTGAAGTGTTATATATACTCAGAAATAAGTATTGGAGCCTACAATAGTCTGAAAATTTCCTACATTGTTCAGCCTCTTGATTTCTCCTAAGGGGGGTGATCTTTCAAACTGTAAGTTCTGCAAAACACTTGAGCATTTGCTGAATTCTAATTAAAGTGAGAAATTATCACGCTTTCAGAGAGACTGTCCTTGTTTTTAACTTTAAGCATGAATTTACATAGAACTTACTGATTTATGTCCAAGATTTCCCAACAATAGGTCTGTTCTATCCTGACTGTCTTAAGGATAAATGCAGAGCAAATTCTGTTCAGGTTATAGAGGATTATATTTAATAGACCAGCTACTAAAATTGGAAGAAGTGCACAGATTTCCCAGATGGAAATAAGCATGTATATATCATGTGCACAGTAAATCCAATGCAACCAGAATGTGTCAGACTTACTATGTGTATGCTGCCCAGATGGCCTGCATAACAAACCAAAAGCTTTGGATTCATTGCACAAATTTGTCACATTGATCTGTGTATGCACAGTGTGCGCTTGTCTGGAACTTCCTGATGTCAGTATTCCTACCACTTACTCTCTCCCTGGTCTGACAGATGCTTGACAATTCTGGAAAAAGTTCTTAAGAGCACCTGGTAAAAATTTCATAGACAAGTAAAAATCTTACCCTGTTCTCCTGGGGATGTGGTTGACCTCAAGTTTGTGTGTATTGCTGGATTTAAGTCTGAGGAGAATAGGGGACTTAAAATATATATTGCGAATATACAGTCAGTTTGAGAGTTGAGAAGAAATATAAATTTAGTTACATTATCAGTAAGAACAACAGAAAAAATGTTAGGTAGGATATAGAAATATTTATACAGCTAATACTGTTTCTTTTAACGAATCCTTTACTTGCTCAGACAATACGTAAGCCTACAACTTTAATCCAAAGATTTTCTGTGGAACTCCACT